AATTTATATGGCGCACAGTAAATTTTATAGATTGTGCGCCTTCCGCACAGTGATTTTTTATTGAAAAATAAACACTGATCGCGTCTTAATTGTATTGTATTGGTTGTCACGTTCTCGTGAGAATTCATGCAGTGTACCGTGACACAAGATTCTTGATCCGCTGCATGTTGGCGATTGTGCATGCATTATTGTTTTTTCCATTTCGTTAAATTTTTATTTTCATTTTAACTTCTTTACAAATAGAAAAAAAAGAAAAAAAAAATGAACGTAGATAAGTTTTTCAACATCCCATCCAGTTCCATTCCAAGTGGAAAAAACAAGAGAAAGCTTACGGCAAATCCAAACATTGAAGTGCTCAAAGCAGTGCGTCAAAAGACAAACCCCGAAGACGACGAAGAACCTTCTGATTTTGTTACGGGAAATACAAATTTCAAGACTCCACAACCTATTTTGTCGAAAAGTGCCCTTTCCACTTCTAGTTCTTCAAAAGGAAAGGGAAAATCTGTACAAATATCCGATGAAGTGGAAGAGCAAGAATATTTTATTGATGAATATGAATATGAAGATGAAGAAGAGGAAAAAGGTTTCGAAGAGGAAGAAGGTGGAAGATTTTACGGAGGCGGATTAACTGAAAAGCAGAAGAGAATTCTAGATTTAGTTGATCAGACCGATATTGAAGAGGTTTGTTAAATAAATCTATATTTTAAATTCAAAGTTAATTATTAATTAATTTGCATCATTCACGTTATCAAAAGCCAGAAATATTAGATTTAACCGGAATGCGTAAAATGGTTATAAAGTTTCAAAAAGCTTTAAGTAAAAATCAAGAACTTCGCGTTAAATATCCCGATGATCCGACAAAGTAAGTTTTTTACTTATTGTCATTATAATGTTCAAAACAGATTTTTACCGATTGTTTTCGTTAATTAGGTTTATGGAATCAGAAACGGACCTTGATCAAGAAATCAAACACTTATTAACTCTTACCGAAGTGCCTGATCTATATTCTCAAGTAGTTGAATTGGGAGCCGCAGCTTCTATTGTGTCACTTTTAAGTCACGAAAATACCGATATTACCATAGATGCGATAGAACTATTGAACGAATTAACGGACGAAGATGTTGTTGCGGAAAATGACGAAAATGCAATGAAGATTTTCATTGATTCATTGGTAATATTATTATTCTTTATAAGGTATGATTGTTTTGGTACCAACTATGTTTTTTGGAATATTAATATATTAAAATTCTTTTTGATGATAATAGCTTGAAAATCAAGCGTTGGAACTTTTAGTTCAAAATCTAGATAGATTAGATGAAAATGAAACTACTGATAAGCAGGGAATTTTCAATACACTTGGTATAGATCCTTTTATATGATAATAAGAATAATAATATTTTGATAATAATATTTTTAAAATTAATTTGTTAGGCATAATTGAAAATTTTACATCATTTGACCCCGCAATATCTGAGAGAGTTGTTCGAGACACGAATTTACTACAATGGATACTTAATAGAATTAGAGTCAAAACATTTGATTCCAATAAACAGTATTGTAGTGAATTGCTGGCAATTTTATTGCAAAACAGTCGAGGTATTTATGTTTCATGAAAGCGGTATATTAAATTTGAATATTTTAAATATTTTATTTATAAAGATAAAATTTTCATTATTTCTTTAGTTAACAGGTTGAAACTTGGAGAGTTTGGTGGAATTGACGTTTTGTTACAAGTGCTGAATGTATGCATTTTTTTTTTTGATTTGTCAGTTCGGTTTATTAGCATTAAAAATAGTTACCGATTAAAAATAAATAAAAAATATATGTATATCATAGTCCTATAAACGTAGAGATCCAAAGGATGCCGATGAAACAGAAATGATGGAAAATTTTTTCGATGCGTTATGTTTAGCATTGGAAGAGTCAGAAAATAAACAAAGATTTCTGGAAGGCGAAGGTGTCGAACTGATGTTAATTATGATGAAGTAGGTATTAATGTTGGTTTTCAACTATCGTTGTAAATTTCTAGCTAGAACTAATAGTATGTGATCAACTACTAGAGAAAAAATGATGTCTCGCATGCGTTCGTTAAAAGTATTGGATCATGCATTGTCATCACCTGATGGGTTGAAAAGCTGCGAACGTTTTGTAGAAATATTTGGGCTTAAGACGCTCTTTTCTACTTTTATGCGTAAGGTAAGGTAATATGGAATGGGCTGATGAAATATTATTTTATATATTCATATATCAAAGGACTTTTTCACTTGGTTACGGACTCGTGTGCTATTAAATCGCATCTGATGTGGTTTTTCGATTATATAACCTGTAAAGGATTATTTAATATGTATTATTTTATATTATAATAGGGTTTAAAAAAGCTCAAAAGGTCTTATAAAGCGTTCTCCGAAGTCGAAGAAGAAGGTACCATTAATTTTTTTATTTTATGAACAAAAGAAAATTTATTTTATCGATTCATTAGTGGTTTCTTTAACGCACTTTTTTTTTTTTTTGAAATTAATTTTTAGAACATGTAATGGGAATAATTGTTTCGTTATTAAAAAGCCTTCCACGCGATAGCGAAGCTCGAATGCGACTGATAAATAAATTTATTGAAAATGATTACGAAAAAGTGGACAGATTATTGGAAATGAGAGAAAGTTATGAAGCTAAAGTGGCAATCATTAATAAGGAGATTGAAGAAGAAAAAGAGGTATTTACGGACTTATTCTTTCAAGCTACGAAGTCTTTTTCTCTTTGGCTAATCTAAATCATTATTTTAGGATTTAGAAGATGATGATGGTGAAATGGAAGAACATTATTTAAGACAGAGATTGGATGGAGGATTGTTTACTTTACAGTACGTGGATCTTACAATTGCGTGGATTTGTCACGAGGAGCCTACGGTACGTAGCATAGCATTAATATTGACTTCTAAACAAAACGAAGATATAAAATCGTAAACAATTACCTAATTACCATAACAATAACGACAATTATTGTTGCGTTATGATCGATCACATGATGAGATGTAATTAATTTAACTTTGATCGCCATTGCGTCGTGTAACATTAAATCTTTAATTCCCTTTTCCGGAAACCGCGAATAGATCAAAGACCATGTTCGAATCCTTTTAAATCGGACAGGACGTAGCTTATCTAATGTAAAGACTGTTTTAGAAGGTAAGGCAAAGGTTTTCATTCTTTGTCTGTTAATCTTTTTGATAAAAAAATGCTATTCCCCTTATTCGGAATTTCGCGATATGCTGTATTCCCATTTTGGAAACGTTTAATTTATTAATGATTCAAAAAAAAAAAAAATTTTTTTTCTTGGTATCACCAGAGTATTACAAAAACATAGGCGATGATGATCAGGTTAGGGCTGAAGCAAATAACGAGGATCATGTTTCCAGTGAAAAGGTCAATAATTCGATGGACGTAGACAACGAATCATTAATTTTAACAAAGACAAGTGACACTTTAAAGGAGAGAGTATTGAAAGAAAAGCAAATAGTTGAAATGTTGATTGGTTCATTATAAACAATTGTTTTTAAACAAATATCTTTATGTTTTCTCAGATCTTGTCAAATATTTCTTAGCGTTCTTTATGATGTAAGCTATTTATTTTATTAAAATCATGTTTCGTGTATGACCAAATAAAAATCTTTAACTTGCATTGTAAAATTTAAAACTCTTTTTAAGGTTAATAATAAAATCGATATAATTTTTTTTTTGATTGGATAATGAAGAAAAAAAGGAATTTTAATAAATGAAATATTACAGAAGTTAATTGGTAATAAAAAAAAAAAAATAAAAAGATTTGAAGTTTCAATACTCGTGCGACATCGTGTAATTCCAAAATCACTATAGAAGGCTTAACATGAATTTAAAAAATGTTGACTTGCATAATGGTACATGGACGATGTTATCCATTTTCATCATTTCGTGTTACCGATATTCGTGGTCTTTGTCGTAACCGAAATCTTTGTCAGTCATGAATATAGCCACGCTACTTCAAATTTTTTCCAATCTAGTAAACAAGGTGACCCTCCACAAAATGTCCATTTCTATAACTAGATAACAAGTTGACTTTGTGTATTTGACCGAAAATTTTCACCATAAAAGATGTTGATCCAATTCTTTTTCTTTATTTTATCCGTTATTTAAAAGTATTAAAAGGCGCTTTTCGAACTCAATGGTCGGAGAATTAGGGATATTTTTTTGGTAGTTTAATAAGACTTTTTTTGGATTTTGTTAACGCAATTCATATAAAGTATCAATTTCAAATCCCTTTGTCCAAAAAAAATTCACTTTCCTTTCATTGTCATTTAGTCACCTCATAAATATTTCCATCATTATCATCTTGTAATATATCTTTCACGCTGGCGTGTGCAGCCTTCAATTTATAATTTTTTTTTTTTTTTTTTTTTGTTAATATTACATTCCAAACCCTTTGTACAAATAAAATTTCAACCATGACTCGCTTCACGCCTGCAACTTTCAAATCCATCCCTCTTCTCCTGTTATTAATATCGTCTTGCGCCATAAATGTCCTTGCTAGTCCAACCCTGCATCAGGACATGATTTACGTTAGTGATAATTCTGATAGCATTGATAATGTTGTCACAACGTCAGATGGAAAACCAGCCGAAGGATTCGATTATACAGAGGAAAATGCAAATTTAGTTCCAGTCACCGGAACACCAGAACCAACAATCAGCTCCATTGTACGTTAACTTTACTCGAAATTCAAATATTTTTTTTCTTTTTTTGAAAACAAGTTAATTTTTTAACCCTCATTCTTTGCTATTCATAGGGTATATTATTCAGTCCAGGTGATGTTTGCACTGACGCTCCTAAATCTATCCCATCAGACATTGCTCAAATTGCTCGATACAAACGTATTGCCCTGATTAAGCAAGGTGCATGTTCGATTTATGATCAGATTCAAACCGTTCAACAACAAGAAGGAGTGGTTGGTGCGATCATTTATAATGATGGAACTACAACTACATCGTCATCAAAACCAAATTTTGTAGCAAAGATTCCAGTTTTTCGTGTCAAAGGTGATAGCGGTAATGAATTGATGAAGAGTTTGGAAAATGAACTTAACCAACAAGCTACTGAAGCTCAAAGAAAAATGATCAGAATTGTTATGTTACCCTCTTCAGGTTCATTTGGTGGTTGGCAAATTGCAATCATCGTTATTGGTTCATTACTTGCCGCTTCGTTCTTAGTATCAGGTAAATATATTTATATAAGCTTTTTTTGTTTTCTTCACTCATTTACTTCCCAGAACTAATCGTCCTTTTTAAATTTTTTAGTTTTGATTCATTGCCGCTTATATCAACTTAGACGACGTGAACGATCTTTGATGGTTGCTCAACATGAAGCTAATGTAAATGCCAAATTACAGACTTACACTTTAGAAAAATCTGTAGTTAAATCTTTCCCTATCAAGGTCTATAGCAAACAAGACAAAATCTCTGCCGTTTTTCAAGTTTCCGATTCCTCTAGATCTCCAAATGGACCTGACGTTTGTTCTATTTGCTTAGAAGAATACTCTGATGGTGAAACATTGAGGGAGTTGCCATGTTCTCATTTTTATCATATAGATTGTGTGGAAAAATGGCTTACAACAAAATCATCACATTGTCCTCTTTGTAAGCAAGATGCTACTCCACCTGCAATCGCCGAGAAACGCGAAAAGAGATATGTCCATACAGTTCAAATTCAAAATAATCTTGATAACATCTATAATACATCTAATGAGACCAGAAATAATAGAAGAAATAGAAGTGGCGAGAGTTCCTCTAAATTGTCAAGGGTTTTGGAATTGTTCGGATATGGTTCAAGCAGTCGGGATGCTCAATCATCCCATGTGAGACCCACTGGCGGGAATCTCTTTGGCATTCAAGAACTTCCTCCTGTTGTTGTTCGTGATGGAAACTTAAACCGCATGGTATAATCGAATTCAAGGAACATGATGAAATTCATCATCATCTCAAGGGGATTCATGTAGCGACATCAACCAGCACAAACTTAATCATTTATACATAAACGCACAAACTACTCACAATCACTTCCCACTCCTCATCCCCTCACCCCCTCACTTTCCATCCATGTAAAAAATTATCATGAATTCCCAACTTTAGACTCATTTGGCATTTGTTTGAAACCCTTGCATTTTTACATTCGCATTTGTAATTCACATTAGCATTTTTGCATTTTTTTCTCATTTACGCTCATATTTTGCACACTTTGCATTCATCATACATAGAATTTAAAATATATACTTGCATTCGTATACATGATAGATTTATACAATTTTGCATTCATTACACGGTATATAACAGCATTTTGCATTTTTCAATAGCATAAATTTATAAATATATTTTTCTTTTTTGCATTCTCTTTAAAGACTTATGATCCATTACATACCGGGTTTTTCGCATTATCATTAAACAATTTTTTATTTCTGTTTCAAAACTTTTTCTGTTTTTTATTTTCTTCTTTCACATATATATATTTTTAAGTGTTATTCTTCATTACTTCATTTTACATCTAGGGTAGTCGATTTAATTATTGATTATTTAATCGATTCATCATTTTCATATTATCTCCTTTCCACTTCCTAAATATTTCCATGAAAATCCGATCCCTTATAAAGTCGAAAAATTTGATTTTTCTTCTTACAATATATATATATATATTCGCATACTATCTTTTATATCTATTTGTATTTTTTATTCATTTAAACATTCCTCATAGATTCTTTTGTAAAAAAGAATTGTTTTCTTAAAAGAAAAAATTTCCAATAAAAAATTCCATATAAATATTTTTATATTCAAGAGTTCGAGTAAATGATATTTAAAAAAAGAAAGATTTACGTATAAATTTTTTTCAAATTAAATTTCGAGCGTTGACATCATCCAAAGATAAGATTCTTCGTTATACAGTCCTTTTATACACTTTGAAAAGTTAATTCTTTTGCGACCCATAAAAAACACTTTATTATAAAATATACAGTATAATGAACATTTTTAGCAGAATTATTATTGATACAAAAATAATAACTAAAAAAATTAATTCGTTAAAATTTTTTTCAAGAATAATATTTAAAAATAAAATATACAGCAATACTTCACATTTGAAATTGTCCAAGTTGAAGAGCGTTCGACGTGTTGCTAAAGTTGTACAATAAATTGGTTGAACGAATATATATTTGGCGTATTTGATTGGGTTAATATTACGTGATTATCGCAACTTTAAAACGCGCGTTTTAAGAAATTTTTTTCTCATCACCAGACAAGTTTTAAATAACAAATATTTCAGGGTTATAACGTAATTCTATCCCTCAACTATTCGAAAATTTGCTTCCAAGATCTTAGCACACTATTTCGTAAGTATTGAATCATTCGATTTCTTTCGATTACTTCCTTATGAAAGCTTTTTCACACCTTTTATCTATTTACCTAACAGGCAGAACATGATTTGTATAATGATACAAAGTGCGTTTAAAAGCCTTGAAAGTATTTGCTCATTGAGTGTGGAGTATGATTCCATTATGAAAACTTTGGATATCCAAATGGACAGTATGTATCTAATTAGGTAAATGTCCAACGAAACCATTCTAGTCGCGAGCACATTCGAGGCTAGCGACTATGTCTTGCCCTTATTGGAGAGACTTTAACTGTTTTACAAAGATGTGAATATATAGAAACGCAATTCATTCGACCTTCCACGGCTCAACACCATTGAAAACATTAAATATAACTGGTTCCTTTCAACAGGATCCTACGTTACATATGTTCATATTTCGGACATGGAGCTAATAATTATCTAAATATTAATGAAGGTTATTAATCAACTTTAAAAGTTGGGCTTTTGGACTTACAGTAACAGATTGTAAGGAATTTAAAAGTTAAACCTACGATGCTCAAATGGATTAAATTTATTGAACTCGTTCATAAACAAGCTGGGAGCAAATTCGAGGCCAGTAATCAAGATCCAAATATAACTTCTTTAGAAAATCTAGATTTTGACCCCGCAAATATCATTTAGCAAATTCAAAGATAATACAAAACCAATAATTCAAGTCCCTTTTTAAAGAAATAATTGATATGACTATCAAAGAAACACATTAAATGCCCTTTTAAATATATCATCACCACCATTATCGAAATCCTTAACACCATCACAATTACATTCTTTACAATCATTTCATTCACGGTCTTTACAATTATTTAAACTTTCCCCTTTCCCTTTCCCTTCATCACCATCACCATCACCATCACCATCATTATCATCAACATCAACAGTAACAAGCGCAACACCACCACCACAACCATCACAACCATCACAACCACCATTACCACCAGGATCATCACCACCAGTATGATCAAATCAATCAATAATAATATTTTAATAAATTTACATTATCATTATAATTTTTAATTATTTTTAATTATTATAATTCATCAAAGACTTGTTATTGTAATAGTTAGACAATTAGGTTAGTTAATGTTCCGATATCCTACAAAGATATCAGAATTATTGTTTTAAATGTTAGTCAACAAGTAGCCATATGGCAAAAAATTGCCTATTATCTAGTAAAAGATCACTGTAAAAGTAAAGAATTTAAAATCAATAATTAAATGTTTATTTAATATGAATTTTTTTTTAAAAAATTAAAAATTAAAAATTTTAGTTAATGTTAATATTAATATCAAAGCTAAAGTTAAAGTCAAAATTAATGCTAATGCTAATGTTAATGCTATCACCAAAAAAAAGTCTAAAAAAGAGTCATTACCATCAACAAAACCAATATTGAAATCAAAGTTAATATCAAAAAAAAGCCAATATTATTTATCAAAATCAATGTCAATGTTAATACTAAAAAAAAAAAAATTAGCTTTTATTTTTTTTATTTTAATTTTTTTTTAAAATTATATTACTAATATTTTATATAATGTTGCTAAATAAAATTGAAATATTTAATCATATAACAAAACTGAAACTATTTAGATTTTAATAATTAAAATACCAATATGTTGAAACTTTATTTCCATAGATTTTTCATAAATTTTAATCACAATTTTTAATAATATTTTATTTTACTATAAATTCTAAAAATTTAAAATTTTGTAAATAAAATATTACTTATTATATTTTGTTTATTATATAGAAAATTTAATAGAAAAATTTTTACTAAAATTTTGATTTTATTGTATTTAGTTTTTAATATTATTAGATTAAGATCTTAATTTTAGTCAAAAAAATTCTTAGAACCTGATTTTTCTAACAAACTTCTTATTAAATAATTTTTATCTATAATATTAATTAGTAATATTTTTTGATTATATATTAATATAAATAATAAAAAATTAAAATTAAAATTAATAAATATTAAATAATAATATATTCTTTAATAAAGATAAATAAATAAAAATTTATAATTTATATATTATAAAGCAATTTAGTTATTTAGTCATTTGCTAAAAACTTATTTAAAGTTTAGACTTTAGTCAAAAATTTAGTCAAACACAAAATTTGACAAAAGTTTAGTCATAATAAAAATAATTTAAGTAGGTATCATTAATTTTACAGCTTAATTTTTTTTTTATATTTATGTATTATTGTATTAATATTTTTTTTTAATATTTAATATATAAATTTTTTTAATGAAAGGTTAAAAAAATTTTTTTTTAATAGAAAAGTTAAAAAAAAATAAATTTTTTGATAAAAAAATCAAAAAATTTTTTCAAAAATATATTTTTTTATTATATTAATAAAAAATAATATTTTTTGGAATTTTAAAAATTAAATATGATAAAATTAATATTAAATGAAATTATTTTACTAATTTGATATAACTAAACTCGTAAAATTAATATTTTAAATAAAATTATTTTACTAATTTAATATAACTAAACACATAAAATATTTTTATTAAATAAAAATAAAAATTTTTTTTATATTATTAACTGTATAAATTAAATATATTATATAATTTATGCATAAATCAGTTTGCAATTAAAATTTAAATCCTATTTTAGAAAATTGTATAGATAAAATAATTAAAAGATAATTAAATAATTGAGCAAAAGAATAATTAAAGAATCAAATAAAAAGTTTTTTTTATTAAAAACTTTAACAAATATAATCTATAAAAGATATACTTAAAAATAAAATAAAAGAATAATTTATTGTATATATATATCATAATTTACTTATATACTATTCATTCTTAACTGCAAAATAATTTTTTTTTTAATTTTATTTATTATTAATTATAAAACATTATTTTAAATTTTTAATTAATTTTATAACAAAAAGTGTTTATTATAAATATCAAAATAAAAATCAGATATCAATAGAAAAAAATTAAACAATAGTGAAAAAAAAGAAAAAGTTAAAGAAAAAGATATAAATTTAAATTTAAGAAATAATAAAGTAAATATTATAAATTATAATTTATTTAATATTTTATTTATTATATAATATTAATTAATAAAATTTAAAAGAATATTTAGATAATATAAATAAAATTGATATTTAAATAGATAAAATAAATATAAATAAAATAAAATATTTATTTATGAATGAGAAAATCTTAAAAGAAGATAATATTATATATAATGAAGATTATAATATTAATGAAACTAGTGTTTTGCAAAAATCAGATCAGATCAGATTTATTCAAATTTGATTTAATTTGATTTTATTTTTCAGAATTTGAATCTGATCTGAATTTGATAAATTTGTAGAAATTCAAATTCAATCATAATCTGACAGATCAGTTTAAATTCAAATTTAATCTTCAAATCTGAAAAGATTTATTGAAAAAATGATTTTTTAGTTTTAAAAAAGTTTTGAAAATATTTCATTTCAATAAAAAAAACTTTTTCAGCTCTAAAAGATGTCTAAAATTTGTTTTTTTTTAATAAAAGAAACTTTTTTAGCTTTAAAAAAAGTTTGAAAAGTTTGTTTTTTTTCAATAAAAAGAATTTTTCAGTTTTAAAAGAAATCTGAAAAGTCATTCCTTTTTAATAAAAGGAATCTTTCAACTTTAAAAAAAATCCAAAAATTCATTTTTTTTCAATAAAAGAAATTTTTTCAATTTTAAAAATGTTTAAAAATTTGTTCAAAAGCTCTTTTAGGCAATCAATCAGATGGTATGTAATTACATTTGCATTTTATTCAAAATCAAAATTATTAATTTAATCTTTTACATTTCTATAGAATTTTTGGTAACAGAATATGTCTCTACATTTGAAGAGAATAATGATAAAACAAATCTTACACAAGAGAAGAACTATTCTTTTTTAAGAAAAAAAATAAATTTTCAGCTTTAAAAGAGATCTAAAATTTGTTTCTTTTTAATGAAAGAAATCTTTTCAACTTTAAAAGAAGTTTAAAAATTTTTTCTTTTCAATGAAAGGAACTTTATAGTGTAAACGAGTAAATGTGACGCAGAAGATTGACCGATTTGACATAAGTGATATATATGATATGTCAGACATATGTGGCATAGCTGACATATTAGACATAGTTGACAT